CTGGGGATAGGCTTCCAATTACCCGCCCGAGTGTTTGATTGCTGAATGAAAGTTGTGTTTTATCATCTTTTTCTTTGTGCACATATTGTTTTGTTTTTGACCTTGCCCCCCCCTCCCCTGTGGTTGTAAGCCGCCCTGAGTCCCCTCAGGGAAAAGGGCGGCATATAAATCCCAATAAACCTAAACCTAAACCTAAACCTAAGATGTGGGGGGCAACAACAAAGCCTTGCTTTGTTCTTCACCCCACCACCATCTTGTTTTGTTGCTGTCACACTGGGGCGTTGCTCAGCCTCCTGCTCCGTTACGGTGCTAAGTAACACCGTAAGCTTTTCATTCTTTGGTGGCGAAGGATGAAAAAGAACAAAGCGAGGTGGTGGTATTGGGAGGGGGGGAGGACAAAGCAAGGCAGAGGCAGGTGTGGAGTTGCTCCATGTGCTCCGCACCACTTTACCTGAGGATCCGTCAGCCAGGCTTCCTATGCCAAACCCTCACACCACCACATCACCACCTCCCTCTAGGGTAGCCACATCCTTTTGCTAACCTGCTTTCTAGATCCATTCTCTGCTGCTGCTGCATACTACTAGAAAAGTAGTTTCTGGGACTACGGTTAAAAAAAAAATCCAGACCTTTGAATTACTCATGAAAAAATAAAATATCTCACAAAGTTGGGAAACTAAGTGGCGCCAAAAGCAGCTGAAAGTGTGGTATTCAAACCCTTCAGCTGTTTTCGGCATTGCTTGGTTTCCCACCTACCCTTCGCCAGGCTGGTCTAGTCTGGTGGGGGGTATTGCCTTCCGCCTTCTCTGCTGCACCATGAACAGGGATTGACCATCCCCCAAACCCTGTTGCTATAAAGGAAATTTTGGGCACTGCGCTGCAATGGATAGACGGGGGAGGAGGAGTGGGGAGAAGAAGGGAAAGCAGCCGTGGGAAATGCCCCATCGGCCAAGCACTGAAGCACTACCACTTCCGCTGCAGAGAGAGAGCGAGAGAGCAATCCGATCTAACCTGTGTGAGTGTGTCTGTATGTGTGAGGGGTGGGGAGAGAGATATATATATCTCCAATCCAACCTCAGAGAGTTATACCAGTACTGATGGCAGTGTGTGCTGTCTCTATCTCCCTCTCCTTCCCTATCTCTCTCTGCCTCCCTCCCTCCCTCCCCCTCCTCTCTCTCTCTCTCTCTTTCTCTCTCTCTCTCCCTCACACGCACACACGCACACACGCACACATACACACACACAGAGAGGGGAGGGGGAGAGATATATTGGATCAGATCATTCGTTCACTCTCTTACTCCACTTCATGGTGGCAGCACCAGCCATGCTCTCCATAGCGGCCTGCAGCTAATCTGAGGTACACAGGCCGATGCCCTTTGGGCTACTGCCTCCCTCTACCTCCTGCTGCAGTCGGCCTCAGTGCAGTTGCTGCCTCCTGTATGCATCCTTCTGATAAAAAAAGACCTCCCCGAAAACAAGCCCAAGTGCTTATTTTGGGGCCCAAAAGAAAATAAGACTTGGTCTTATTTTCGGGGAGACACGGATAATCAAAGCAAACGTATTTATCTACATTTCTTAAAAGTAAAAAGAAATGTTTGAGGGCCTGCTGGATCTTTGGGATAAGGGTGTTACACTGGGCAGGGCCAACGATGGAGAAGGTGCACTTCCTTGGTCCTGCTAGATGACAACATTTAAAAGAAACAGTATAGAGTGCACCCACTGTATCTGATCGAGTGGAATAGCCAAATCCTCAGAGAGAAGCAGTCCTGTAAGCAGCCTGGTTAGAAACTCTGTAAGACCAGAGTAGGAACCGATGTTATGCTAATGTTGCCTTAATTATAAGGTTATGGTAACAGAAGTTGTCTGAATGCACTTCCCCCTTCCTTCCCTTGATCTTTGAGAGAATTAGTGAGGACCAAGCCCGAGATTCTTCTCAAATTACATTTCAGATTAAAATTTATTTTTTCTGATCAATGTCTTGGTTCGGCTTTGCCTCCTATTCCTCAATCCTCTTATAGCCGATTACATTCCATCAGCAGTGCAATATGGGAAAACTGTAGGGCAGTCAGAACTCTGCATGCTGCCACATTTTGAACCAATTGTAATTAACAGTTAGTCTACAAGGGCAGCCCTATCTAGAATGTGTTGCAGTAATCCAAACAGAAAGTGATGGGATTAATGAATGTGACACCTCCCAATCCCGGAATGGCTACATTTGGCAAACTGGTCTGTGTGGAGTTGCTGCAAAGGACAAGATCCCTGAACTTCCCATGCGGGGCTCCTTGGAAGAACAAGCAGGAGGAACAACTTATATGAGCAACTTGCAACCAGCTTCCCCATTGACTTTGGTTCCAGCTGGGAAGGTCACAAATGGTGATCACATGGTTGCAGATCACTGCCATATCTTAATTGTGAGCTGGGCACCCAAGCACTTGAATTAGAGTAATGTGATGTTGCAATTACCACAACTTTGTGGACAGGTCATAAGTCGCCCATGTTCAGTGCTGTTATAATCTTGAATGGACACTAAAAGAGTAGTCATAACTTGAGGACTATCTGTATCCTAATGTAATTACTTTACTGCTCAAGGCTATGGATATGTGTTGCCATTGAGATTCTCCTTTCTGAGGTGTGAGAAGTTTCTGTGATGCATAAAGCTAGTCCTTGACTTATGGCCACAATTGAGCCAAAATTTCTGTTGTTAAATGAGACATTTGTTAAATGAGTATTGTGCCATTTTAGGATCATTCTTGCCACAGTTGTTAAATGAATCATTGCAGTTGATAAGTTAGTAATATGGTTGTTAAGTGAATCTGGCTTCCCCTTTGACTTTGCTTGTCAGAAGGTGACAAAAAGTGATTACATGACCCTGGGACACTGCAACGGTCATAAATATGAACCAGTTGCCAAGCAACTGAAATTTGATCACGTGATATGGGCATGCTGCAACTGTCTTAAGTGTGGAAAAATGGTCCTAAGTCATATTTTTCAGTGCCTTTGTTAACTTTGAATGGTCACTAAATGAACTTGTAAGTTGAGGACTTACCTGTATTCTGTGCTTATTGCATTATAATAAATCAGTATAATTTGTAATTGTGAATTTTATACTTTAAACAAAAGTTCATTGTATTTTGAAAGATGTACTTCAAAATGATAACATAACAGTTCTTATGTCGATATATTATTACCCACTGCTGTCAAAAGTTAACTATTTTGAAGTACTACAAAAATTACATAGAACAAGAATGGTAAGGGTTAGGGTTAGGCCTTATTAGAAAAATATTCATAATAGTTATTTTTAGTAGCAAATTGCACATGTTTCCTCATTGATTTAATATAGGAAAATAGAATATAAAGAAACATTTTAAAGATGTTTAGGATAAATATTGTTTTTGCTGTTAATTAATTAATAAAATGTTAGAATATTGCTTCTACTTTAAAAATGGACTAAAATGTTTTATTTCCAAATTTCCTAAAGACATGTTGAGGTCGTGTGTACACTTCACACAAAACCTTTTATTTATTTATCAATCAAATTTTATAGCTACTATCTCACCGCCCCCCCCCCCCCAAATTATCCTGGGCAGTTTACACTAATAAATTAAAGCAATGAATACACAGAAACTGCCATTATTAAAAATTAACACAAACGTTATTTAAAAAATAAAAACTGTATGGTTTATATGCATTGTTAAGACCAACTTTGTCATTTGAAAGCAATTTAATACAAGATAAATTATACATATTTTGTGGACAGCTGGAGCTGGAGCACATTTATATTTCTGTAACAGTGCACTCTTGCCTGTTTTTGTTTCATATCCCCTATGCTCATAAATAAATTTCAAAATGTTATTTCTGGAAGAGCTATATAGTCTGAGATAGAAGGTGAAGCTGTTGCCGTAAGACGCAGAACCTGCAGAACTAACCATATTGGGTTCAATATAAAAACGTATTGGCTATTCAGAATCAGGCAACTATGCTAACCTGAGTTCCAGAGATTTATATGATGTTGATATTGTAATTGATGTGCCTTTCTCATTAGGGATGACTTGGCTGATGGTCCAATATTTAGCAGAGTCCTTTCACATCCTTGGAACCTTGAGAGAGGTTTCTTTCGTGAGGAGAATCCTTCAAGACCATTCAGCATGCGACATGATGAGGACTCTTACAATAGGGATATTTTCATAGCTCAACTGGACCGAAGTATAAACAGTGAATTTCTACAGCATCAATCAAGAGAAAATAAGAGGGGTGGGGAGCAAGAATCAAAATGCTTTCAATATGGCAGAGACGATAGACTTTTTGATGAAAGCATAAAATCTCGGGCTTTATTGGCAGAAACAGAAAAGTATTGTAAACAAGGCCTTAATAGAAGCCCAAGCCTGATATACATGGATGAAGATTTTCGTAAACTTGAAAAAATTAGGAGAAAAAGAGAAGAGGATTTGCGAAGCAGAAACATTAGTACTGACTACCCAATGCCTGATTCAGCTAATCAAGAACAATCTTCTGAATCTAGACACCATTATAGATCTGAGAAAACACCAGCAATGTCCTTACAATCTATACTGAAGAAACGTTCAGATGATTCTTCTATACAGGTTTGAACTGAATTCTTCACTCTCTTTGTTAATCTGTCCATTTTTCTATCTTTTTCCTAATTTAAATTTATGTATTTAATTGTCTATAAGTAGATCTTTCGAATAAATGCTTTGAACAATGTCACACATTTTTCCTGTCATGGAGTTGATTTAGTATTGACAGCATCTTGGGTCTCATTTGAATCAGAAAGTTTGCATTTTATTTGTTTTAAATTTAAAACCAGTGACTGACTTTCTGTTAAGAGTGGTGTCATTAAACATTTTATTTTAGTATTTTGACATCTGTATCAGGGTAACATAAAGAAGTTGCATTTGATATGGTAATTTTAGGACACTTATGGGGATTACTGTTTTTCAACCTTGAAGCCCCATCAGTAATATTTTTCCTCAGGCAAGATTGCTCCTTATTTTGCTCTGCAAGGAGCCTGAGATGACTTGTCATGCAGGGAGGAATCTGTTCTGAAAGGTGGGATTATGGGGGAATGGGAGGGTGCTTATTAAAGATTTTCATGGTTAAGATGAAAACTTCTAGCATTAGGCATAGGTTGGAAGTTTCCTAAATCATTTCTAGAAAACCAAGTGCAGAATTTTTCAGTGTTTGAAATTGAAGAAATCTCTACAAATATTAATTTTTTAAAAACTATTTGAAGCTGAATTATCAAGTCACCTCATTTTCCTCACATAGTTTCAAAGCAGAGGTAAATAAATAACTGTTCATTTCTGAAAGAAGCACCATGCTTTTGTGAATTTGCATCATGCAGCAGTCATAAATAATGTTGCCTATTGACAGGCTACTTTTTTGGATTTGTTCCCTTCAGAAAGCCACCTTTCGAATTCTGTTATTGTTCAGACCCATGTTGTGCTTCCTCTGCTGCTTCTTTGACGTGCTGTTTTTCCTTCTCTGTGCTCAGTGATTCAAAGTAATCACAGATCATGGCATGAATATATTGTTGCTGGATAGCAACTTAAAACTGGACCTTATGAGCATATCATGGAGGGAGAATACAGCCATTTCACTGAATGGTTAACTCTGAACAAAGCTGGGTGGTGACATGGTATGTGCAGCTTATAGAAGATAGCTAGAGTAATATGTTGCTGTACTGGCAATTTTATTGCTGATTAGTACAATATAGTGAGATCATCTTTTATCAGTGTGGCCTGCTGAGCAAGGGAAACATGTTATATGTCTTCCTCTGATAACTTTTTTGTAGCACCTTTGCACCCTGTCCCAGCACTAATAAAATGCCCACAATATATCAAATTAAATTATATTTTAGAACTCCTGTCTCTGCCTCAGTTTCATTTTTCTTCTCTTCCAGTTTACCAAGTTATTAGCTGTAATCTGTTTATCTGAAAGATTTCCCTGTTTTATGAATTGAAATATTGATTAATCTCATAAGCTAGTACCACCAGATCTGTTTGAAAGCCTGCATTCTTTTCTAACAATTTTTATTTATAAATGAACTCCTTTCTTTCAGAAATGTTTTATTTGTAACAATTTAACACACATCACTTCTTTTCATCAGTTTTTCTTCTTCAGAATTTCTTCAGTTCAATAATAATTTGTTTGTAGTAAGGCATCTCAGTGCAACAGACATATCAAGTAATAAATGCTTTTCCTTTTGAACAGGACTTCAGGGATTTTTCAAAGGGGAAGAAGCCTCCTGAGTCAACATCAGAACCTGTCACCCAACGTAGTGACTTCCTGTTGCCTAATGAAAGAGCCAGTCAAGATGGAAGTGGTTTTTCGTGCATTCTAGGTACAACGACTGATTCTGTTTATGCTCCAGAAAAAATACTGGATCCCTTCCCTTATAATATAGAAGATGAAGAGAAATTTCTTTATGGGGATGATGATGGTGATTCAAACAACTGTGTCTACTCTCAAAAGAAAATGATGAGTAAAAAGAAAAAACCTGTACGTGAGAAAGTAAAATATCTACCTATTGCAAAACCAAAGAATTTGAAACAGTCTGTAAAACTAAAGAATTTGGAACAGTCTGTAAAACAAAAGAATTTGGAACAGTCTGTAAAACCAAAGAATTTGGAACAGTCTGTAAAACCAGAGAATTTGGAACAGTCTGTAAAACCAGAGAATTTGGAACAATCTGTAAAACCAGAGAATTTGGAACAGTCCAGTGTGGAATATGACAAGATGCGTGACTTGCTTAAAACTATTGGTTTGGACATTGGAATGGCTGAAATAGATAAGCTTGCTGCTCGCACAGAAGAAAGGCTCCATGGGAAAAAAACAGCTTATGCTCTTAATCATCATTCAGTTGCAAATCATAAAGCAAAGTTAGAAGAGAAGCAGAAGCATTCTCTATCGCCATTTGATTCTTTTCCATCACCTGAAGCTCTGTCTCCTGTTTTAAAATATGACTACAATAACATCGCTATTTCAGGGCAAAATAAAGCTACTGACATGTGTGAGCAATCTAGTGTTCCAGGATCTGTAATTCCATCAGCTCCACCTTCTTTTCTTGATATTCCTCCTGGGTCCATCTCTGGTTCATGTCATGATGTTCCATATGTCTCTACGTTTACTCCAACTCAGTTCTTTCCAAACTCTGCTTCTCTCCCAGTAGCCTTACCTGACTATGATGTATACCAGCACCACATGGATTATGCAACTTCTGACTGGTGTCCTCAGCAAGTGGACTCTTTATGTCCAAGTAAAACTGATGTTGCCGATCTAAAAGACAGATGTATAAATCGCAACCTTAGAATCATTGATACAATTAACATCAGCAAATCCAAGCAATTTCAAAAAGCTGCTACCACTACCCCTTACTCCAATCAGCTATCCAAGTCTTCTAAAAAAAGGGCCAAGCGAAGAAATGCTGCTGCAAGAAAAATAGCTTTACTGAACCACAAGGTGGGTATTTTCTTAATTTCATAATTACCATAGAATCATAGAAATTGATTTAGAATGGACATTAGAAATTGACTAGTCCAAACAATTGCCTAATTCGGGTCTCTGTTTATCACTTACAATATACCATTTAAAAACATAAAAACTCTGTTTATTTATTTCTGGTTAACAAGCGTTAACTTTTCCTTCTTTTCAGCATGGAAATGTAGAATATATTGTAGAATAAATATTGTAGAACTTAAAATACCGTATATACTCGAGTATAAGCCGACCCGAATATAAGCCGAGGCACCTAATTTTACCCCAAAAAGCTGGAAAAGTTATTGACTCGAGTATAAGCCTAGGGTGGGAAATGCAGCAGCTACGGTAAATTTCAAAAATAAAAAATCAGTGTTATTTGAAA